CTCAACAAATGAAGCAGTCGGTCGCCGAAACAATGATGAAGTTGTTCGAGTCAGGTCATATGACCATGGATGACTTTGATGAACGCGCCGTGGAGATGATGAACTCATTTCCTGAAGAACAAGCTCGTTATGTCATTGATCAACTGAGGGTTCGTTGTTTCCATTGCACCTTTTTTTGTCACATCGAGTTTCATGTGATTTGTTGTTTTTTAGGAGTCGAGGCTTTTCGGAGTCCTGAATAAGCCTCAGTACCTAATGTCTCTGATGCGCAATTTCCGCGATCGCATTCGAGCCCAGGGAGCCCAGGCAGTTATGGCTGGAAAACTCATCAATGGCCCCGATCCGGACAAAATGACGGAAATTCTGAAGAGAACAGGCTACACCTTGGAAATCACCGTTGGACAGCGGAAGTATGGTGGTCCGTGTCCTGACTGGGATGGACCTGCAACTGGACCTGCTGGACAAGGACACGAGGTGTTTTTGAGTGCAGTCTATTATCGTAAGGCAGTTTATCAGGAGCCATTGTTTAGATCTACATCGGTCACATTCCCCATGAACTGTTCGAGGATTCTATCGTGCCTCTCTTCGAAACATGCGGAAAAATTTGGGACCTGCGACTTATGATGGACCCCATGTCGGCCAAGAACAGAGGATATGCTTTCCTTACATACGTCGAGAAGTCGTCCGCCTCAGACGCTGCTAAAAAGGTTATTTTCGTCTCCTCACACGTCCTTCGCATCTGCTTGGGGGCGCTCTCAGGTTTTTGTCGCGTTTTCTTCTCTTTTGTCACTGCTGCGTCCTTACTCTTTTTTTATCTCTTATTCTCTCGTTTTTGACATTCATTCGTTGTATACATCTTTTGAAAAGATGCGTTCCAAGCAGCGCCAAAATTCATGAAAACTGCGCAAAAACACGAAGAAGCTGTGATTTTAGTATGATGGACACGAAATTTTGCCGGGAAAAGCTCTGAAAGTGAACGTCTCTGTCGCAAACACACGTCTGTTCCTGGGAAACATCCCCAAGTCGAAAACTAAAGCCGAAATTCTAGAGGAGCTCAAAAAGCACGCAGGTAAAAAAGAGCCGAGGCCTTTTTGGAAAAACTTTTTCGAGTTCTTTTGTTTTGTGCCGAGAAAGTTATGGGCTAGGCTAGCTGATCAGGTAACGTTTCTCCAATTTCCTGCAACGTTTTCTTGACAATGCATTTTCAGAGGGTGTCACCGACGTGATCGTCTACACTATTCCGGATGCAACCGAGCGATACAAGAACAGAGGATTTTGCTTCGTCGATTTCCAAGATCACAAAACTGCTTCTGATGCGAAAAGGAAGATTCAGCAACACAAGGTTTGTCCTTTCCACAAAAATTAGAGATTAGCACCAAGAGTATTCTTGAAATGGCTAAGAAACGAAATAGTTCGTTGAGATGTTTCTCCTGCAATATATCGCTAAGGCCGAGGTGGTATAGTGGCAAGTGGCACGCTTACCACGCGCGGCTCCGACCAACCCGGTCCGGCTCCCTTGCAGGCTAAGCCTTGCGCCCCCGAGAACGGTAAATTGGTACCATATTCGTCAGGTGGGATAAGAAAACTGTCTTATACTGGGCCGGCACCTGCAAGTCATTGTATAGGCCCTGTCGCATACCAGAAACAACAACTGTGAATTGAAGTATTACGTTGTAGCATAAGTTCTGTACAGGATATTTTTGTAAATATCTCAAAACGAACCAGCCTGGAGATTAGAGGTATGCACCATCACCATTACTCGACGCCAGCGCTCAGGCAGCTTGTCGATTCCATCCTTGACCAGAGAGACGATGAGCTGGGACTAGTGAAGAGTCGTCGAGTTCTGCGCTGATGCCTTTGTTTCGAACTTTTGAACATAAGACAGTCCGTATTTTTTACAGCTCGGCTGGGTCGCCTTTTGCAGTGTGAGGTCGGCGTTGGTCGTGTGAAGTAGATTTCGAATTCTTCAAAGATACGGTGACGTGTTTTCATCTTTGGCAGGTGGTTCCGGTATGTGGAAGGTCAATCGTCTGTGCGGCCTTGTTCCAGAAGCTCAGTATCCTGCTCTTTTGACACAAGACGGAACCTTTTGTGGGAGCGAAGGTCGGGCCTTTGGGGCGGCTTCTGGTGTTTTCTTTGTAGACCCACTGGCGCTTACTCAGGATATCGTAGAGGACCTTCTCTCCAGTGAATAGAGTTGAAAAGTTGAAGCCTCTTTGGAAGTGAGGAGAGGAAGTGCAGGTGTCTCGTCGAGAGGTCAATAGCGGAAAGTTAATGTGGACCATCGACCAAGCTATTGCAGCCCTGCCGACCTTTGCTCGTCTGCAAGTCGGTGAATTAGATGTGTCGCCATTCTATCTGGTGGTGAGGTAGGTCGTCTCCACGGTGGAGTCGTATGGTCCACATCCAACTCTCCATCGGCCGACCCGACCTCGGAGCATCTTCGAGAGAAAAGTCTCCTTTCTTGAATTTGGCGAACCAATTCTTGCATGTCATGTAAGAGATGACGTCCTCCGTATCCACCAGCTTGGTATGGGCTTCCTTTGCATTCCAGCCGAAATCGTGGAGCAAAACCAAACAGTGGCGCAGGTACGTTTTGTCACAGTGCAAATTGTGCGACATTGTGTACTGCAAATGCAAGCTCGGTGAGTGATAGCTAGTGTAATGAAAGAGTATAATGTACACGTCACGCACACGTGATGACGTAATACCAACATCCATGCGAACGAAATAGGAGAGGATCAAACACGTGTATAAGAACTTATGCAACAACCTAATAGATGCATGCCGTATCCCAAAAGGGATTGATCAACGGCGGAAACTTTATCCTTCATCCTCTACTAGAACAGCTCACGTATTTGCCTTTTTTGGGGATGGTAGAGGCTTCCTAACGTGAGCTGTGTGGTCCTTTTTATCTAAGCTCTGATAAAGAGGTAGCCCTAGACCGACGAACGTGCTAATCCGACATATGTAGGAGAAATGGTTCGGACGGCTCTCAAATGCCTGAGTTCGTTTAGCCACCATGGAATAGATACTTCGGAGCCTCGTTTGTTCTATAGACCCAAATGCGATATAACTCGTCCGATAACCATTTCCATTTAAGATTCGTCCGTTCAACAGCGAACTTGTTGTTGATTGGGCGGAACAGCAAGAGGAGCCCGATGAGGACACAATGAACAAGGTGAGATAATCTCAATTTACTACCTGTTACTCACCGTGTGGTTTAATTATATGTCGTTTGCAGGTGAAAGTGCTATATGTGCGCAACCTGAAGGAATGTGTAACGGAAGATAAGCTGAAGGAGATCTTTGCGCCGTACGGAGAGATCGAACGCATAAAGAAGATCAAGGATTATGCTTTCGTCCACTATAAAGAACGCGAGCCATGCCTGAAGGTAACCCCGATAGTCCTTACCATGTTATGCTTACTAAGCTAAACATAATTCTACAGGCACTGGAGGAATGGAATGGAAAGGAAATTGAAGGTGTCGCGGTTGACTGCTCCCTTGCAAAGCCGCAAGTAGAAAAGAAGAAGAAGCCGGCGGGACGAGGACGAGGAATGGGAATGGGCATGGGTATGGGAATGGGTATGGGTATGGGCTACGGAGGCCCAGGATTCGGTGGTCGTGGTCGAGCGAACAACATGTATCCAAATATGTGAGTAATAGCTGCATTTATGTATACACAGCTTTTAAGTAGTTGAAGGGTCCGAGTCGGCGGCATAACCATCATTTGGGCCGTGAGCGACAAATGCTTTCTGGTCAACTAGTTAGTGATACTGTCTCGATTTTTCTGCTCGGATCTCATTAAGTATCCATATAAGTTATAGGCAAAAGTATTTCTGAAGTTTCCTGAAAGTATGTCCTGCTTTCGAAAGGGAGGATCTGTAATCGACAAGAAGCCGCGTTCATCTTTGCGAAACGTGCAATTTTGCAATTCGCGCTGAACAGACCATACTTGACAGCAACATGGACAGCTGGAACAATCTGAAGTTCTTTTTTGTATGTAAACGGATCACAAAACGATTCAATTGTTCCGACGATTCGCAAACAAGAGCTTTCGGTCACTTGCGATTCTCAGAAGTCGCTCAAGTCGCGGAGTATGAACGCGGCCTGACGAGAGAACATTTTACGTTAGGTGTAACTGGAGAGAGGGAACCATAGAAATTGATTCATACTTCAGTTGACGTCTGAAATTCGCTTTACGATTCTGTAACGGCTGGGATTTTCAGGGGCTACGATGATTATGCCTTCGGAGGATACGGTATGGGTGGCGGATACGGTGACTACGGCGGTTATGGTGGCTATGGCGGATACGGCGACTTCCAGAATGGTGGATACGGCCCACCTTATGGAGGTTTCGGTGGAGGATATGGTGGAGGCCGAGGCGGTGGATACCGTGGTGGACGTGGTGGAAACAGAGGAGGCCAAGGAGGGTACGTTCATTCCTTTGTAGATGTCAAAAAGCAAAAGCTATTGCTCGATTTCAGACGAGGAAAGCGACCAGGTGACAGATCTGGTGGACCAGCCTCGAAGCGAGATAACGGGGCCCCCGATTTTTCCGCTGATGTCAACATGAGCTCGTTTTAAATTAGATCTGATACGATGTTGTGTGGTTCAATGTTCTCTTTGTTTGATGTTGTGTGCATACTGGCAGTTTCTAAGTATTTACTTCTTACTTCTGCTGTTGAGTTTGTTGAAGCGGTTCAAAGCGCGCAGTGCTCGTCCTCATGTATCTCGTTTTTTTTTACTTCAACAATATGTTGTCAAGTTTAACCGATATAAATATTTCCATTGTATTGTACGAAGTCTGTAAAGGTGGAAGGCACTTGGGCACAATACTGTTTGGGTCGGAATGTCTGAAAATGCAGATCATTTGAAATTTCTGCTAGGACTAGCATGGGCTCCATGCCAAAAGTCATTGAGATTGGAAAGAAGCCACGGAAATTGCTGGATGGTGAGTTCCAGGAGTCTCGAAATAGGTATGAGGTGCAGTTCGGTAACAAGGAGGGGGAAGAGACGTACTTCCCATCGACGCGTCGAGCTGCCAAGTGAAGACCTGTAAAATCTTGTGGAGCAAGAAATGATATCAGCCAAAGAGAAGAATACCTGTTAACACTTGTAAAGCAATGCTTGACGAGATTATTCCGGCTTCACAAGAGTGCACAGGTTTCGCCATAGACCTTTGGAAGGAAGCAGTGAAGCAGCGAAAGTGCAAAAGCTCCCCCCTCTACCCCTTCTCTATCATTTCAACCAATTGTTGAAGGCGGATGGCACTTGGGCACAGCACTTTTGGGTTAGAATGTTCGGTCATGCAGATGATCAATTATAGCGCCAGGACTGGCATGGCCTCTACGCCAAAAGTCACTGTGATTTGAAAGAAGCCACGGAAATTGTTAGATGGTGTGTTTTAGAGTAGGTACAAGGCGTAGATTGGCCACAGGGGGGAGGGGAGTGGGGATTTGCACTTCGTTACTTCCCTACTTCCCATGGACGTGTCGAGCCATCAAGTGGACCTGTAAAATCCGAAGCACCACTAGTTAACTCCTGTGAAAGGACCTGTCAATTGTTGTAAAGCAATGCTCGACAAGTTTGTTCCAGCTCCACAGGAATTCACATGATTCACCTGAGTAAGACCTGTGAACCGAAACTAGTGAAGCAGCAAAAGTGCAACCCCCCCCCCCCCCCGCCGCTGAACTGTGCCTAAGGTTTGAAACTGTCGTGAAGTTGTCTCAGTAGTATCCAGGCCGGAAAGTCGTGAGTGGAAGTCGCAAGCGTTAAGCGCTATAATGCCGGTGGGTGGCGCGCTAAATCTTCACTAAGTTTACTAGTTTTGCATGCCCTGTATTCGAGTGACTGAATTATTCCTCTCGGTATCCCACAATAATAACTGAAGGGATCATGTGCACAACTTTAAAGAACAGAAGCGCTTCCAGCTTGAACGTGTCATATGGAAACTGGCGCTGTTCGGCCTGAGGGGATAGGGGGAGCAGAGTTTCGAGTTCGTGAGTTCCTTTTAGTAGTTATGGTCATTTTACACGTCTCAACTTGATAATATATGTAGACACTTGTCAATTGTAAACGAAGTTCCTGTTATTAGATGGCTTTGCAAAAACTTACAAGTCTCCACCGGGGCATTGCCAATGATAGATAGGACCAGCAAAATACCCGCAGCAAGCCAAACTGCCTCTAAAAATTTTCGCCATCTCCTTGGATCCTCCTAACCAAAATGCCCCACCTTACTAAGATAGCGCCCAAGTCTGATGAAGGGCGAAAATTAAGCGCGCAATGAAGTGTTGCCCAACATAGTTATGGTCCCATTTGTTTTTTTTTTCAGAGGTATGCGAATATGTCAGCGAATTTCTGATCATGCAATGCACAGCATGCAGTGTTATACCGATTTGGAGGCTACTCTTCCGTTGAATTCCGCGATTATTCATTTGGAGGTAAAGTCGCAACGAAGGTGAGTCTTTAAGTCCAGGAGCTGTTCGTATCTTCTGGTGTCGTTTCCACCACTAATCGTTGAGAGTAATGATCCAGTCTCTGATATCCTCAGAGGGGCCCCTATTCGTCGCGGCTACTCCTCTTTTTCCTGGCGGTACGTCCTCGAGCAGATATGCCCATATCTGCTTTGTTGCGGACGGGGCTGGGGGTTGGCCACAGTGTATAACAAGGGCTGACGGCAGGGCGTGGCAGGAGGGCGTAGGCATGAACAGGGAATACGTCGTTATATGGTAGGGCTCCGTGTGAGTCGGCTCATTTCCCCTCATTTGACATTCATCGCCCTCTTTAGCCAGTTTATGCGCTATACCACATGGCAATGGGAATTTTGACCCCATGTGCTCCAGAAGTGTTTTCCTGTCCCGCAATCGTTCGCGGAGACAGGAGCTTATCTCTCCTCGTGTTCGTGCATTCGCACGCGAAGCGATAAGTGTTATGGCCGGCCTTTTCGGACCCAGTGGAAATGCGGGTGGGTGTTGCTGGAACATCTGCGCATTTTTTACTGATCCTTCACTGACTAAGAGGGACAAATCCACAACTGAAGAGTACGCATTGATCCCAAGGCTCCCGCGCTCACTTCATCTGTTGTCGACACTTGCCCTCTACAGCTCGTCTTTTTGATGCTCAGGCCATATTTTGATTGCGGTTTTCCCCCTAGCGCACATCTGGCTGGAACTTTGTCGCCGGAGCAGTTTGACCACCAGAACACAGATGACTTACCCATTTGGTTCAAAATCGACGGCCGCGACAGAGGCCCAAGGCATCTCAGTACTTCAAGTTCGCCGACCATTTGTCCCAAAAGACGTTTCACCCTCCCATTGCGAAATAACACCCCGATGTATTGTATTAGAGACAGATATTTAAGGTGTGTCTGAATGATCGCGTTGCGAGATATTGTCAACGATCGGTTCATCTCGCCAGTCAAGCGATGGAGAAGCACAATCTTGAAACGTATGAAGGTTGGTTGAAAAGCTATTCAATACAAGAACTCGAAAAGCGAAAATCCTTGGGACGCTTTCCTTGGAGCATTCGGTTCTGGGTCAGGAGATCCACTTTGGAGCGAAAGCGAACTACTAAATGGTGTAGCATGCGTGGCGTCCGCGTTAGGACCTCGTTGACTTGGAA